GTTTGTGGGTGAATCTGAGTGTACAGTAGTATGTGATTGTAGGTGTGTAGGTATAAGTCTGTGTGTGCACAGCAGTGTATGGTTCTGGGTGTGTGTGTGTGTTTGTGCACAGCAGTATATGGTTCCAAGTGTGTGTACAGCAATGTGTGACTCTGGGTTTGTGTGTACAGCAGTGTGTGGTTCTGTGTGTGTGTGTGTGTGTGTGTGTGTGTGTGTGAGAGAGCGCGAGTGAGAGGAGTCTGGGTGTGTGTGTAGGCACTCGTTGGCCCGGCCCGAGAGTGTGGATGGAGCAAGCACCCACTCCAGCACTTCTACCCCCCAGGGCTCAGCAGCAGGTGGCACTGAGACTAGGATGGGTGCTCTGGTCTGGTGCCTGGAGCCTGGGCACCTCATGCAGGCCTCGTGCCTTGGTGGTTACTGCTGCCTCTCCTCCACCCCCTGCAGTGGTGATGCCCAAACATCCCTGCTCTGTTGTTGGTCCCGCAGCTTCTTCTCTGTCTCTACTGGATAGAGTAGCCACACTCCTAAACACACACTGCCCGAGGCCCCTGGTGGCACAGGGGTCAAGGTGCCCAGCTGCCAAGCCTCAGGTTGGTGGTTTGAATCCACCAGCTGCTCTGAGGGAGAAAGAGGAGGCATTCGGCATCTGGAATGATGACAGCCTCGCACGGCCCGGGGCAGCTCTCTGTCCTCCAGGACTGCCCCCTGGGCATCAGCATCCATACCCAGCAGCGGGGTTGCCTTTGGTACTTAAAAGCTCAGCTATGAACTGAAGGCCAGCAGTTCAACCCCACTAGCTGCTCCCTGCAAGGAAGACAAGGCTGTCCATCATGGTAAAGAGCCTGCCTGGGTCACCCTGTGGGGCAGTCCTGCTGGGGCTTGTAGGGCCCCTGCGAGTCAGAATTGGGTTTGGGTTTTTGCTTTTTTTTTTTTTAAAGAGGAAGACACCCCCACCCCCAGCGTGGGTGGACATGATGGCTGCGCAAAATGGACTCCCACGACAAAGATTGTGAGGATGGTGCGGGGCCTGACAGTGCTTTGCTCTGTTGCAAAGGGAGCCTGTGAGTCAGACTGATGATATGGGAACTAGTGACGTGGAGGAGGATGTTGAACAGGAAGCTGAGCTATAACAATGTGGTCACGGTTGAGCTGAGGTCCAACTCAGAGCCCTGAACCCTAACCCCCGGGAGCAGGTGGTCATCAAAGGTGCTCTCTGCTGCTCCAGACTGCCTTATAGGTGTCAGGCTGTAACTGGGCCATGTGACCCGAGGGTTTGAAATGAGACTCCTGCCCCTGGTGCAGACACTGACCCACAGCACGAAGCTCGTGCAGTATTGGCCTCGTCAGCTGCCCCTTTTACAGTGGGCGGTGGGGAGGCCCTTCAGAGCATCGAGACAAAAGCCAGTGGAGCACAGGTCTCCCCTGACCCAGGGGGCGGAGCCCCCAGCACAATTCTGTAGAGCATGTTTACTTTAGCTCAGAGCTGATAGTGACCAGCCCCTATGGATCCCACAAGTGGCCCTCCTCCCTGCTACCTCAGCCAGCAGGCAGCATCCCCACCTTGTTCACAGACACTGAACCTACCCATTGTCTTCCAACACCCTTCCCTGCCCACTGTCACCTCAACCCCGCCCACCATCGCCCCAGCCTGGCCTATTGTCACCCTGACCCCACCCACCACCATCCCATCCTACTCACATACATCTTAGCCCCACCCACCAACACCCCAGCCTTACCCACCTAGACACCCTGGTGTATAAATGGCTGGTGGCTCTGGGTCTGATGGCAGCAAGTGCTCACTACAGATGTGGCAAGGCATCTGGATCCATCCCCTTGTCCACCTTCCCTGGGGACACAGTTCCTGCTCCTGCTTTTGAGCCTCCTGTGTCATAGGCCCCTTCTGCGGCAGGGCCCCCTGGGGGTGCAGATCCTTGTGGATTTTCCATTGTCCTGAGGGAAATGGGACCTCAGCAAAGGCCAGGCTGCCCGCCTGTCAGGGGTCAGGGGGTCCGGGATGCACTGGGTCTCCTGCCCTCCAGGAGGTGCCCGATGCCCAGGGCCACCTGCCCTCTATGGGGCACTCAGCCGCCCGGGGCCCGGGAGCGCCCAAGATGACCCTCACCAAAGCTGTCGCAGAGGAGGAGCCCGCCTTGCCCCTTGTTGCTGTGGGCTTCCGTCTTTGTTTCTGGCCGCCGCTCGCTGCCCTGACTGCGTGCGGGCGCTTGATCTGCCCGCTCAGCCGAGCTCCGGCTGTCTGCTACGGCCCTGCTGGCAGGTTTCACATCCTGCCAGGTGACACCTGTCTGTGACTTGAATGGGCTCCATGGCGAGTGCACTGCCTCTCCAAATGCCCTCTCGCCATTCTTGACTAAGCTGTTTGTTCCGTGATTTGTTTCAGCCCTGGCGGCGCCGTGGGAATCCATCGGCTCAGGCTTTGTGGGTGCCGCCCCGCCCCATGCCCAGCTCTGAGGGGGTAGGGGTGGAGGGCGCTGTGGAGTATGTGAGGTGGCGCGCCCGTGAGCGAGTCCCGCGAAGTCTCGGATGGCTTCCCATTTTTAGCCACACACTCTCTTCCCAGCCCACGGATTTGCTTACGAGAAGCAGCAGCAGTGGGCATGGTGCTCCTTCGCTTAGTCCTGACACCCACCCACCTCCCAGAGAGCCCACAGCCTCCTTGGGGAGCTGGGTCGCTGCCAGTCAGGTCAGAGGAGCAGGGTGGGGACCAGCCCCCTGGGAGCAGCACCCCTGTAAAGACAGAACAGACCGGGGACCCTACGTGGCTCTGCAGCCGCCCTGAGAATGCCTGGGGCCTCTGGGCAGGAACCCTGGTGGGTAGTGCATCCTTCCATCACCAGCTCGGGCCAGGTTCACTCCACCTTGCGTGCCCACAGGTGTCAGAGCAGGCCTGTGCCCCGGACCACTGTTGCTGATTTGGGGTGCAGTAGACCACTAGCCAGGCCTCGGGGTGCACTGGAACCACTGCCTTTTGGTCAGCAGCCAAGCAACGGGAAACCTGTGAAGGGACTGCACCCTGTCTGCACTTGTGTGGGTCTGGTGGGCAGGCGTTAGGCACAGCTGGATCCAGGGCCTCACAGATCCCATCCGCCCTTGCCCCTGCCATCCTCTGTGCTGGCTTCCCTGCCCTTGGCAGCCGCAGCCACAGCCCTCCTCCTAAGTGCAATGTCAGTAAGCAAGAAGACTGCCCTCCCCCAAGACTCCAATTAGGCCAGTGGTCCACGAGGCCCGGTTGTGAAAGTCTTAGCCCCATTGACTTCCATGAAACTCGGGGTTCACCCCAAGAGAGGAGAACAGCTGCAAGAGCCCCCCCAATGTTAGAAGCAGAACTTGTGAGAAGGGCTCGTGACGAGGAGAAGACAGAGTCATCCGGCCCAAGTACAGGTGGCTTTGCTTTATTGGGATGTGCAGTTGACAGAGGGACGGCCCGTGGTGACCCCACATCCAGCAGGCCCATCGGCGTTATTGCCCCCAAAGTAGGTGCTCGCTGTCTGTTATGTCCCGCCCATGTCGGTCATTCTCTCAGCCATTCACACTTTCTCATCACTGTCACACACTACAATGATGACCTACTAACAATCCCACTGCCACCCAGTTGAGTACGACTGACAGTAACCCCGTCACTCAGCTTCAGAGGCTGTCGGTCATTACGGGAGCAGACAGTCTTGCCTTCTTCCTGTGGAGCAGCTGGTAGGTTTGCACCGCCCACCTTGTGAGCAGCGCAAACGCGCACGAGGGTTCCCCTGACAGACTGGTATAGTGGAGACACGGCTGTTGACCACACCAGGAAACCAGCACATGCAGTGACAACCGTGTTGTGGTATTCAATCGGGGCATTGCTTTAGTGAAATTTGCAACTTGTCTTCTGAGGAGAGATGGTTTTGCCCCCAATCATTTTCAGAGGGCAGCCCCTCTACCCATGGCCCCTCTGTCTGGCAGGGTTGAGGTGCTTCAGGGTAAACATTGATCCTGGGTCGAGTTTGTGGATTTATGCCTTATTCCTGAAGCGGTGGAGGGTATTGGCCATTCCTCTGGCGTTTGGAGAGAGGTTTGGAATGCTGATGGTCACTGTCTGACTCAATCTGCAGTCTGGGTTCCCACAGTGCAGGAGTCACAGAACCTGCACCTCCCACCCTAGTCCCACCGGCCCATCTGCATGCTGCTAGATTGGGACACAAGCTCTGAATTTTACAAAGAGCATCAAGCCCAACTGAAATCCAGGCCACCACTCCCTCTCGCTCACTGCCATCAATTTCAACTCAGTGTTCCCATGGGACATGGCAGAGCTGCCCCTGGAAGTTTCCAAGGCTGTAAATTCTTACTCGAGCAAACAGCCTCTGCATTCTCCCAAGGAGCAGTTGGTGGGTTTGAACTACCAACTTTGTGATTAGAAGTCCAACACCTAACCTACAGAGCCACCAGGGTTCTTTGAATGAGATGTAAACAAAAACCAAGCAAACCCACTCCATGGAGTTGACTCCGACTCAGAGTGACCCCCAGGGACAGAGTCAAGGTGCCTCCGTGCATTTCTGAGGCAGCCAGTCGTTACCTCTGGTGAGCTCAAACCACCACAGCCATCGGCTTGCTGTTTGGTTACCTGCTGAGCATTAACTGCCACTCTGCTCCAAACCAGACCTGCTGTTGCCACGTCAGGCCTGACTCATAGCACTCTACAGGCAGAGTAGAGCTGGCCCTTAGGGCTTCTGAAGATGTCATCTTTATGAGAGCAGAGCGGCTGGTGGGTTTGAATTGTTGACCTCGTGGTTGGTGGTCTAGTGTCTGAGCCCCTGCTCCATGGACCCTTGTGCTTGGGGCTCCCACTGTGGGGTGAAATGAGTGAGCTGTGGTTGCTGCAGGGCTGACTCGGCTCAGGGCCGCCTCAGTTTCTGTACACTGCATCTGGGAGCCTCTGGGCTAGGACCCTGGTAGCGCAGGCCCCCTGGCCCTCCCCAAGTAAGCATGTGCCCTCTCTTTCTCACAAACAGGCTCAGGTTAAAGCTAAGAAAGAGCATGAAGGTGCGGTGCGGTTGTTAGAGGTAAGCGGGACCCTGCTCCTCGGGAGTGAGGGGCTGTCCCTAAGTGCCTGCGGTGTCCCAGTTCTGTATGCAGCTGGTGTGGTTCCTCAGGAAGGCCTCCCAGTGACCTGGGGCATGGTCGCTGTGCTTCTTCAGGGGGAGGGCAGGGGCTGGGGGCTGGGGAAGGGCAGTCTCCATGCAGGACACAAGCCTATTGGCTCATGGGATGATCTCCCCAAAGGGTGAGGTGGGTGGGTGTCTGCCAGCACTGGTGGCCTGGGAGCAGGACACTGGCCCAAGAAGGCATCAGGGGGTCAGCATGGATCCCTCAGGGATTTAGAGCAAGGGTGTCCGAGTGGCCAGCTCAGCCCAAGGCCCTTTTGCAAATGACCTCCCTGGGGCACTCCTGGGGCTGGAGTGGCAGTGCTTGTGGAGAAAAGCAGTCCCAGTGGACCTGGCGGGTGGGGTGGGTCAGGAGCGGCTAGGCCTGCGTCTTGAGCACTGGGTCTGATGCTACCGTCCCAGTCTCGGGTCACCTCGTGGGCTTGCATCTGTATCCATCCTATGGGACCAGGGGCTCCTGATTTCGTGGGCAGGCCTGGAGTCCACCTGCCAAGGACAGAGGCCTGGTGAGCCCTCGCTGTAGATACAGCAGCAGGAGCGACCTTGTTCTGAGGCCAAGAGGGCTTCCTGGGGTGTGGAAGCCTCAGACTGGGAGCCAGGAGCCGGCCTGGCCATCTGCCTGGGAAACTAGCCCCTTGGCCGACACAGGGACTAGGGTTACATGGGGATGCACAGGGACGCAGGGATGCTTGCAGTGCCTGGCACCTCTGGCTGCTCTCACTTCTGGGGCCTAGCCTGTGGCCCCGGGAGCATGTTCGGTGGGTTGGCGGTGTCTCTATAATGGTCTTGCTTTGCTCTTCCCCATCCAGAACACCCTGGACTGCATGCAGGTACTTGGAGGATTCCCCCAGCCCCCGTGTGTTGGTGCTGTTCCCCCTACCTCCCCACAACCATGCTAATGGACATGAGGTTGGGGCTGCTCACCCCCATTCTGCCCACACTGGGTGTCAAATGGTTCTACCTCAGGACACATCGGGGGAGCCCCCCCAATTGATGGTCAGGATCCCAAGAGCTGGGCGAGCAGACTGATATTCTAGAAGCGGGCTCTAGAAGCTAGGCTGAGCAGCTCTATGAAAGGGCCAGCATGCCTCGCGGGGCGGGCAGGCCTCTGGGCTCCAGTGAGCACAGGCAAAGGCACTGTTAGGGCCAGCCCAGCCATGGTCATGGGAACCTGGCCTCCCTGTTGTGTGTGGCCTCTGTGTGCATGTCTCATGTTGTCCGTGGTCCCTGCTCTCTGTTTGCCTATAAACAGAGACCATTGACCCTAGAGGACAGAAGCTGCCATGTCCTCCCTGAAAACAGGGGTTTGTGCTTTTCCCCCAAACCCTGGGCTTGGCAGTGCGTCGGTGCTGTGCTTGCTGTCCTGCTTCTTGACCTGCTCCCCTAGATGTCTAGCCCTTTGAGGTTGGAGTGACCAAGGCCCTCCCCAGGCTACAGAGAGCAGCTGCCTGGGCCCAGAAAGAGTGATCACAGCAGCAAGGCACCAGCCTATTCCCACATGATGCCACATGGGTGGGTTTGGGCCACCCACTTTCAGGGAGCATTGGGGTCTGCCACTTAAGGATGGAAACCTTGCCCAAATTTGGAGTCCAAAGCTGTGTGTGTGTGGGGGGGGAGGGGTAGGGGCACTGGCATTTGGGTGCTGAGTGGTCCTCCTGCCCACCATGGCCACGGACTCCAGTCCACCCCGAGGGCCGCTCACTCTGGGATTCTGAGTGCTGACCTTGAGCACTCCATGCAGACAGAGACCATGCTCAGGGTTTGGTGCTTCACCTCAGAATCGTCCACACATATCCCCTCCCTTGCCCCCACCCGCGGTCTCAGCTGCCTGCTGTGGGCAGCTCAGTTGTGCCTAGGAGAGCGTGGTGATGGCCACTCGAGCACACAACAGAAGCCCGGCTCACTGCTGTGTGAATTCCAACCCACAGCGACCGTAGAGGCCAGGTTAGAATCATTCTTGTGATTCTAATTTCCAAGGCCGTAAATATTAGTGTTCTCCTTGGAGCAGCTGGTGGGTTTGAACTGCTAACCACAAGGCTAACCCACTGAACTACTAAACCAACCTGTAATCCATTACTCTACTGGGGGCCCCTGACTACCACTCAGAAATGTGTATTCCCAAATCCCTCTGAGCTAGAATAAGCTCTGTCCACGTTCCCCTGGACACCCACTCCGCTCCTCTTGGGGTTCTGTGTGGATACCCCGGTTCTCACCTGCCAACCTCAAAGGCCCCTGCAGCTCTGTTCCAGGCTACCAGGTGGGGCTCCTTCTGTACCCAGCCTGCCCTGGGACCCTGGTTTGTAGGTACCGTGCCCCTCTGTGGAGATGGCCCGCCCGGCCCAATTCATTCAGTCTCCTGAAAGGGGTGCTGCCGGCTTCTTGTTTTAATGAATTGAAGAAATTAATGATAGGTTGAAGTTTGTGGCTGCAATAAACAGCATTTCATTTGGCACTTGAGAGGGGGCTGAGCCTGAGCCTCAGTGTGGCTGCTCCCGTATGCGTGCTGCCCCAGCCCTGCCCAGAGCTGTGCAGAAGTAGCTACTGGCGCAGCGGGTACTAACCACAAACCCACCAGCTGCTCCTTGGGAGAGAAATGACAAAGGTGCCCTGGTGGCACAGGGGTGAAGTGCTCACCTGCTAACGGAGACATTGGCGGTCCTGGAGTAGTTGAGGCGTCTGGTCCTGTAGCGCCTTAGAGACCCAACAGGGCAGCTAGATCTCCTCGGTCCGACAGGTCACTGGAAGTCAGAGTGGACTTTGGTCTGGGTGGGACTCTGAAGGGTTGGCAATTGTCTTGAAAGATTGCATGGTCACCTATGTTTTAAAAAGCCACCCCCCCCCCCAAAAAAAGCAGATTTCAAAACCAAGCCCATAGCCATTGAGTCGGTTCTGACTGATAGCACCTGTTGTGCGGTTTTCTTAGGCTGTGCATCTTTGCAGGGGCAGACAGCCTCATCCTTCTCCCCCAGAACAGCTGGTGGGTTGGAGCCCCTGGCCTTGGGGTTAGCACTGTGCCTGTAGGCTTAGTTCTGAGATACTGTGCGCACTCAGGGAAGCACAGTCCACCAGCGGCAGCTGGCTTGGGCTTGGTTTCAGCCCCTGCGGCTGCAGGTGACCAAGTGCTTGGCTTCCTGCCAGTGCCCGCAGCTCTGTAGACCAGGGCCTGGTAGAGACCCCTGGACCTCGACTCCACACTGGCACATGGGGGCTACTGTGAGGATGGGCCTGAGCAAAGCTAGGCTGAGGGTCCACACGGACGCGGGTCAGAGGTGAGGCACATGGCCAGAGTACCACGCCGGGCAGGAGGTCATTGCTGCAGGGTGAGGAGGCAAGGCAGGCCCCCTGGCATATGCCTGTGTGCTGGGCTGGTGCATGAACCTGCCACCTGCCCAGGCTACACCTGGGCTGAGCTCCTAGAGAGGCAGGAAACCCATGGGTCAGCATCTGAACCCGGCTCACCTGCCTGCAGGCTCTTCCCTTGTGTCCTGGGCTGAGGGCCTTTGCCTCTGGACTCCTCAGGTGTCTGGGCAGCATCCACCCACTCAGCAGGCAGAGAGGCCCCGGGACCACCAAGAGCTGTGTTCTGGGGGGCTCTGTGGTGCGAGGGACGCACCCAGATGAGAAGGTGCTGCGGCTGACAGTAGGTCAGCCGTTCTCGGGTCTGCTCTGGGTCTTGGTTTCTCGTCCCCCAGCCAAGGCCCTAAGTGGGCAGCTCTGCTGGTCCTCACGCTGGCATTGGGGGCCAGGCTACAGGGGATGCTGGGCTTTATCCGATGTTCCCAGCACAAATGCTTCTGGCTGACCCGTGCCCTCTGTGCCCCCCGCTCCCCACCCCAGTCCAAGGTGCAGGAGCTGGAGGTGCGATGCCGGGTGCAGAGTGAGCAGTTCAGCCTCCTGTCCCGGGAGCTGGAGAAGTTCCGGCTGCACTCGGGCATCATCGACCTACTGGGCCGCAGCCCCGTGCCCACCTGGGATGCCCCCTTCCTTAACGGCGCCAACACCACCCTCTGCAAAGGTGCGTGCCCTCCTGCGGTTGCTGGCCGGCACCTCCAGCCCCGGAGGGATCCCATTTCTGGGGAGAGAGGCCCTTGTAGTGTCGGCCCAAGAGCAGCCGGCACTGGTGGCTTCTCGTCCAGGGTCTCCTCACCCGTGTCGCGCTCCCTTCACAAACGCCCCCGGTGACAGAGTGGTTGCAGCCTCCCCTCAGAAGGGACCGTTCTCCCAGGGGCTCCATGAAATCCCCTGTGACAGACCTTCCTGACCGGACACTGTGTGTGGCCTGGCCCTGGCAGCTGGGGCTGTGCTGGTGGAAGGCCAGAGTAAGGGCCTGCTTCTAGCCAAGGGGTGGGTGGGCCCACTGGGGTGGGCAGGGGCTTGGAGAGGCAGCACCTTGGTCTGATCTCCCCCACCAGGTCAGCAGAGCATCGTGGGAAGCCACCCTGTGATCCAGGACTATATCCTGCTCCCTGGGGACAAGCCCCAGCCGCCGGCCCGCAAGCCCGCCTTCCTGGCCAGGCCCGGAGGCCCGACATGCCGACTGGAGCCCAACGTGAGTCCCGCCCTGGACAGCATCCACCTAACCACCCGTGGGGGGATGCCCCGACCCATGGTGTGGCTTAGATGTGGGGGAGGTGTCCCCCTGCAGGAAGGACACGGGCCCTGACCCATGGTGTGGCGTGGACATGAGGGTTCACTCTGTACCCTGTTCCCTTCCTCTGTTTGTGCTCCTCCCCCTCCCCCAAGACCTGTCTTTCTGAGCGTCCGTGTCTGGGGACCCTGTGGTTTCTAGGACCTCACACAGAAATACACAGTTGAGCACGAGGCTGCTCTTTGGAAGGTCAGAGGGTCAAACACATCCAGAGGCCTCTGAGAAAGGCCTGGTGACCTTGAAAACCCAGTGGCGGCAGGGCCTGCGCTGATACCAGGGGCGCCTGGACCCTTGGCTGAGGGTGGCACTTGCTCCTCTTCATTGCCCTCCACAAGGGTTTCCATGTGGCCCCGGGCCCCCTGAACCCCTCCCCATCTCTCACACAGATGGACAATGAACAGAACTCCAATACCTCAAAGCAGAGATACTCGGGGAAGGTTCACCTGTGTGTCGCCCGCTACAGGTAGGAGGCGCCACTCCTGCTGTGCACTGTGCTGGCACATGAGCTTGGGCGGTGGGCAGTGGTTGCTGCAGAGGAAGCCAGCATCTCCCGGGCCTTAGAGGGAGGCCTCTCCCGGGGCTGCTAATGGCGAACTCTCTCAGCACCTCATAAGAAAGGCATGGCAATCGATTTCCCCAGGAATCTTCTACCAGAAACCCCATGGGCACAGTCCCTCTCTGACACTCACAGGATCTCCGTGACTGCTTGGAAGCAACTCCAGGCAGCTGGGTTCACTTGCCAAGAGTTAGAGTTAGGACAGGGAAGGAGCCCTCTTCCCCCCACGTCCCCCACCACCCCCGTTAGGACAGCAGGCATGGCTGAGGCGGTGAGGTGGGTTTTCCCTTCTCTGGAAATGTGTTTGCTAGAGAAGGTGTGAGTGTGTGGGCATCACCAGTCTGTCCCGAGGTCCCGAAGTACCCTGGTGGGTGATGTTGGCTAGCGGGCAGCCGGCTGGGTGTCTGGAGCATCCAGAGGGCTGGCCAGCTGCCCGTGCAGGCCTGCCACGTCCAGAGATGGGGGCGAGGTGCGACCGCCCGGCATGCTTCCTGGGATGGCGGTGCAGATGTGGCCTTTGTGTCTCCCTTCAGCTATAACCCCTTCGATGGGCCAAATGAGCACCCGGAGGCTGAGCTGCCGCTCACGGTGGGCAAGTACCTCTACGTGTACGGGGACATGGACGAGGATGGCTTCTATGAAGGTGCGTGGCGTGGCTGGTGGGGCGGGGAGGTTGGTTCCGACTCCCACTGAGCGGCCAGTCCTTCGTGCGTGGGTTCTTGGTGTCACCCACAGCTTGTCTGGGCTAAGGTCATCAGTGTTCAGTGTATCAGTCTGCTCTTGAGATGGACTTGCAGTTCAGGCGGGATAGACTGAGGTTGGATTTTGGTTCCCATGGACCCGTCTTAATTTTCTTCACCGTCAGCCTGGATGTACAGATAAGCAGTCTGCTCCACAGTCGGGCCCTGGCCAGCTTACAGCAAGATGCCCAGTTTCTTAATTTCCCCAAACCCCACAGTGTGGTGTGCAGGGCGATTCCTGAGCCCCTGCGGTGGGCATGTGCCAGGCTTGGGCTTGGGCTCGGGCTCTGGCCTGTGCTGTAAGCACCACGCAAGGCTTATGCCCTTGGGGGGTGCTGCCCTAGTCAGGTGAAGGGGGTCGGGTGCTGGTGACATCACAGATGAGCGTGCCGGTGAGTGGGAGGAGGTTGTGGGGGTGGCCCAGAGCGAGGGGCATTGGCCACCAACAACGGAGGCCCACTACGCCATGATCCCTCAGCCTTGCCACATGGTCGATGCGGGAGGAGCGTGGTGTGTGCTGTGGGACATCAGAGTCCCTGGTGTGACTCCTGGGGTGTCACGCCGCCTTTGATCCCAACAGGTGAGCTGCTTGACGGGCAGAGGGGTCTGGTGCCCTCCAACTTCGTGGACTTGGTCCAGGACAACGAGTCAAGGTTGGCGAGCACCCTGGGGAGTGAGCAGGATCAGAATCTCATCAACTGCTCGGGCCTGGGCTTGGAAGGCGAGGGCCTTCCCGACCTGCACTCTCCCACGCACCTGGCCCCCGGCGTCACGGACAACAGCTCGGGGACGCTGGACGTGAACATTGACGAGACTGGAGAAGACACCGTGCCTTACCCCAGAAAAATCACCCTCATCAAACAACTCGCCAAAAGCGTCATCGTGGGCTGGGACCCCCCGGCCGTGCCCCCGGGGTGGGGCGCCATCAGCAGCTACAACGTCCTGGTGGACAAGGAGACGCGGCTGAGCCTCGCACTGGGGAGCAGGACCAAAGCCCTCATCGAGAAGCTCAACACGGCCGCCTGCACCTACCGCGTCTCCGTGCAGTGCGTGACCAGCCGGGGCAGCTCGGACGAGCTGCAGTGCACACTGCTGGTGGGCCGGGACGTGGTGGTGGCACCCTCGCAGCTGCGGGTGGACAACATCACCCAGGTTTCCGCGCAGCTCTCCTGGCTGCCCACCAACAGCAACTACAGCCACGTCATCTTCCTCAACGAGGAGGAGTTCGACGTCGTCAAGGCCGCGCGGTACAAGTACCAGTTTCTGAACCTCAGACCCAACGTGGCCTACAAGGTGAAGGTCCTAGCCAAGCCCCACCAGGTACCGTGGCAGCTGCCCCTGGAGCAGCGTGAGGAGAGGGAAGCCTTTGTCGAGTTCTCCACCCTGCCCGCAGGTGGGTCCCCCCGGGCCTGGGGTCAGGTGGGGGGGGGGGCTAGCTTCCAAGGCCTGGGGTCAGGTGGGGGGGCGGCTAGCTTCCAAGGTTCGAGCAGAGGGGCCGTGCACATGCCACCTTGCTGCTGAGAGCCCCTCAACTGCGTGTGCAGTCGGCTCTCCTAGCTGGTGGCCATGTGCACACTTGTGTGGCTGAGAGCGCACTGGGGTCCCTGTGTTAAGGGACCCCGTGTTGAAAGACCCCCTCTGAAAGCATGCGCTAATAAGCAGGAGGCCCATCTGGTCCTGCATCCCCTTCACAACAGTGCAGCCCCGAGGCAGCCCTGTGTCCATCCATCTCCTCGGGGCCTTCCTCTTTTAGGGCCCTGACATCCTTCTCCAGGGGCTGGTCTCACCCGACAACCTGTCCAGAGTATGAGGCAAGTCTCTCCGTTCGTGCCTCCCTTCTTCCGCCACGGGCCGGGTGGGGGTGGGGCCGGCCGTGCTCTCCGTCCTCCTGCAGCGCAGCTCACGGCACCGGCTCTCCTGGGCTCTTGCTCCCTCAGGGTCCAGCTCTCACATGCACGCGAGGCAATGACGAGCTTTACATTTTATTGAAACGCATCGTTGCTATCAGCTGATGCCTAGGTGACCCTCACGTGTGGCCACCTGGGTGCCCAGGAAGTGCCCCCAGGCCCTGTCTTCTGGTCGTGGGCCTGGTTGAGCACATGATTGTGGCTACTGTGTCAGGCCACCCTGTTTCCCTGGACCCATCACCAGCCATGTCTATTTCTAACACATGGCTTTTCCCGGCACAGTGAGCATCGCAGGCAAGTCCACGTCTCCCCGTGCTCACTCCTAGTGCCTTCTGGTTGGGTTTCTTCCAGGACTGATGTGCTCCTTCTTTGGGACGATGGGTATTTTTTCACCAACAAACACCGCAATGAGAGAATTGTGGTTTTTCTTTCACGTGGCCCTCCAGCCTTTGCCTGCATAGGAGGTGATACGTGTAAGTTGAGTGAGTTGGCATTTAGGTGGCCAACCGTGGCTGGTGGCCCATACTGTGTAGCTCAACTGTGGGCATGGCAGGACTAGTACACGGAGCTGGAGGGCCTGGTGAGTAGTGTTTCACTGCCCTGAGGGTGTCTGAGGAGAATTGACAGTGCGTGGTCGAGAGTGTAGGCTCTGAGGTCAGAGGGCAAACCCTTATCCCCACCCTCCCTGCACTGTCTGTGTGACAGGAGGCCGCCATGTCCTCACCATCGGGCTCCGAAGAATAATAGTAGCTGCTTTGTTGGTGGTGTTGGCAGGTGCTGTCTACGAACCAGACCAAAACACTGCCCAGTCCTGCGCCATCCTCCCAGTCTTTGCTGTGTGTGAGACCAGCGTTGCAACCACTGAATCAGTCCATCTGGTTGACGGCTTCCTCTTTAGCAACCTATCTGTTTCCTTCCGGTCTCCTCCTCTTTACCTCTCCTTCTCCAAGGACTGTCTCTCCTGATGATAGGTCCTGTTTTGGCTCTTGCGGATTTGTTTGCATTTTCTTCAGCCTCAGCCCGACCTCCGATGTCACTTACAAGCTGTTGATGATAGCCTGTTCCCGTGGGCCCACGGCCTTATTTTGGCTAATGATATCGAACTTCTCCATCATCTCAGCGACGGTTGTGTCTTCCATGTGTAAGATTACTGTTCATGGTGTTGAAAAAGGCCTGTACAGTGAAGAGGACATTGGTCTTGCAAAATTCTGTCATACGATCTGAAACTTGGCTTCGGTCATCTGGGCTGTATTTCCCAACTGCTGTTCCTTCCAACTTTTGCGTTCGACTCGCCAGTGATGAGCAGTGCAGCTTGTTGGTCAATTTTGGACTGAAGTTGGTAGGGTTCTTCAGTTTCGTCATCGCCATTTGTGGGGGCTGGTGGTGACTTTGGGTAACCCTTGTGCACATGGACTTCCTTATAGGTACTGCGCTGTCACAGGCTGATTGTTCTTGGAGACCCGCAAGTGCTCCTTTTGATGATGCGCTGGACACCACTGCCCTGGAGCTTGTCGTTCCCAACTCACAATGTCCATTTGCACTCACTCATGATTGGGGTGTCGATCTGTATTTCAGTTTCGATGCATGCTAACTTTCCTAGATTCATACTTTGCACATTACATGTTCCAATTAATAATAGATGTTTGCGGCTGCCTCTTCCCATTTTGAGTTGTGCCGCCTAAGCCACGGGAGGTTTGCAGACAGCTCCGGCACGCCCGGGGCTCCCCTTCCTGCTCTCTGTCTGGCTCACGCGTGAGGCTCTGATGCTGTTCATAAAGGCATGCTCAGTGGACAACCTCTGCCCCCTTCATGATATGTTCTTAGTCCCGAAGCTCCACGGAAGCCTGCCCACTTAGGTGACCCTGCTGGTCTGGTCTCTGATCTGTCAGCAACATAGCCACACAGACAAGTGATCAGCCACGGCCCTCGGGGCGGTTTGTGTGTGGGAGGTAACTGGGCTCAGACAAGGCCCTCCCGGTAGTGAAGGCGTTTGGGGTGGAAGAGGTTTTTGATAGAAGAGGGCGCTTGCTGACAGTTTTCATCTGGTCTCAGTGGGGTCTGGGCTCAGTGAGCAGGCCCGGCTGTACGCCCTGCAGACAGGCAGCCCTTGCTCCTCAGCCGTATTCCTGAGTCCTGTGCGTCACCTGCAGCTCTGGGAGTTCATAGAGGTGTGCTCATGTCCTGCAGGGTCACCTGAGAAAGGCAGGAGGTGACCAGAGCCCATGGAAGGTGGCAGTCCCTGAGGAGTGAGCTCATCTGGCTGGCAGGCTGCCCCCACTTGATAAGAGGCTGGAGCTGGCGGAGTGAAGGCAGGGTCGACCCCTGGGTACCCCCCATGAGAGGAGGGTGTGCAGGTCACAGGGCAGAGGTCTGGGCCACCAAGGGATGGATGGTGGGAGGGGGGTGAGCATGAGAGAGAGTGGTGAGAAAGGAGGAGGGTGGTGGGTGAGGGGCCGAGACACAGAAGCAATGGGCAGACAGGCAGATGGGAGGGTCTGACTGACCAACTACTGTGGCGCCCGCCCAGACCCCGGGCAGTGGCCTCTGCGGGTGGGCAGTGCTCTGTGGATCCGGTTGGTAGGTGGTAGTCCCATGCTGAGCGAAAGCCACTCAGAACCCGTCACCAGCCGCTGCCCCTCCTCTTCTCTGCTTCACTGTCAGCCGGGCCGGCTCCTCATTTCTGGCATTTCGGTGATGGTCCTGTATCCAGACAGGAGAGGCTGCTTCTGGCCCCACCGTGGACACCTGCCCCCGTCACCTCCCAGGGCCCCAGGATGATGGTGTCTGTCTGTCCCTTCAGGCCCTCCGGCTCCCCCCCAGGACATTATTGTGCAGGCTGGTGCCACGGCCACCACCGTCCAGGTGTCCTGGAGGCCACCTGTGCTGACACCCACCGGGCTGTCCAACGGCGCCAGCGTTGCAGGCTACGGCGTGTACGCGCGAGGGCAGAGGGTGAGTCCTGCTCCGGCGGGGGCAGGTGACACTTGGAATCAGGCCCCCTACACTCTCCCAGTCCCCCTTCCCCCCACCCCAGGGCCACCAGACATGAAGCGGAGGCCTGAACAGCTGCAGTTGAACCCATTGCCACCCAGGGCCCCTGGGACCGAGCACACTGGCCTCCACAGGGTTTCCTGGGCTGTTTTGGGGGATTCAATCTCCAGGCTTTTCTTACGAGGCAGCTCTGGGTGAACTCAAAGTGCCACAGATTGATGAATGGTTGGGTTGGACTTAGCCCATCTGATGTCTGTTCCATGCACACCCAAAACAGAGCGAGAACCCTGGGGTTGCTCGGCGCCAACTCACACAGGCCTGCGGGCTGGAACACGCTGACTGCTGACCCAGCAGCCGCCCTTGCTCTGAGTGACCAGCTCTGTCTGCACGCAGGTGGCCGAGGTCGTCTTCCCCACAGCAGACGGCACGGCCGTGGAGCTGGTGCGCCTGCGCAGCCTGGAGGCCAAGGCGGTGACCGTGCGGACCCTCTGGGCCCAGGGCGAGTCTGTCGACTCCTTAGCCGCTGCCATCCCCACTGACCTCCTGGTGCCACCGCCGCCACCGGCTCCCCACCCCAGGTCTGCGCCTCCAATGAAGCCACCCACAAGTGCCCATACCCAAGAAACCAAAGATGTGCCCTCGGGGCCCTCTGGCCGGGCGCCAGTCCCCGAGCATGGACACCTACTGGAGCCTCCCAGCCCACAGGGCCCCGACCGCCGCTCCCCTTCACCCAGCCGCCTGCTCCCGCAGCCACAGGGAGCACCCGTCTCCAGCACCGTTGCCAAGGCCATGGCCCGGGAGGCCGCCCAGAGGGTGGCCCAGAGCAGCAGGGTAAGGCCGGGCTTGTAGATAAGGGGGTGAGGGGCTAGGGGTGACCCAAGCCTACCAAGAGTCCCACCTCTGGCCTTGGAAGTCAGGGTGCTGGGTTGTCAGCTAGACCCCCTGGAGTGGCGATGCCTGGTCTGTTTGCGTGAGGCCGGGCTGGGGGGTCCACTCAGAAAAGCTGTTGGTGGTAGGGTCGGGCATGGGCATAGGCACATTAGGGAGCCTGGCCAGTCTGTAGGTCCAACCAAGTTCTGAGAGCATGCATGAGTGAACTAGCATGCATGCACGTACACATGATCATGACATGTCTGGAAACACGCATGTTGTGTGGTGAAGAAATAGATACTGGTGTTTTCCCAGGAGGCTTTTGGAGCCCCTTATCCACATGGCTGGGTGTGTACACACTTAGTGTACTTGTGCATTACAGAAACATGCACTCATTGGGGTGAACATGTTGCATGTGCCTGGTCTAAGTGCATGTGTCTGTGAGTGGATGCATATGCAGGTGAGCCTGAGTACACGTGTATACTGTGTGTGTACACACATGAATCAGCATGTTTGCATGGCAACCACAGCCATGGCCTGGGGCACGTGGACACTGGAGGCTATTCTGTGGATGAGACATTGAGTGGTTTGGCACTATCAGCCACACCAACCCCCTACCCCCCTCGAGACCACACATTCCATGGTCTGGGGCTGAGCGAACCCCTGCCCCTCCTTGTTCAGCACCGAGTCTCCTATCTGGCACCCCTGTCCAGGGTAGCTGCAGCCGGGGGGGCAGTCTGTGGGTTCTCACAGGACAGACCGGTGGCTGAGGGCACACCTGCCCTGCCTGGCCGCCCTCCAGCTGGTGCTGCTCCACCAGCCCGGCCTGTGCAGTCTTCAGTAGCTGGGGACAAATGGAACACCTCTGGCTGAGGAGGCCCCTCCTGGAGCCCCCAGGACCCCTCCAGTAGGGGGGTGTGGGGGGAAGGATGCAGTCTTGGACCCTGATTCTCACGACAACATTCACTGGCAGAGTTCGAAGCTGGGGCAGGCTGGGCATTGGACAGAGGGGCCATGGCGCGAGCTCAGGGGCCAGGCACCAGCTGTGGACCCAGTTCACCCATACTGTGGGTGCTGCTATTCTGAGGAGGCTGTGGGCGCAGTGATGGAGGGGAGGGGGGCAGGGTTCCCCGGCTTAGCTCCTGTCTCTTTTTATTCCAAGTTAGAGAAAAGGAGCGGGTTCCCAGAGCGCAGCAGCCCAGGGCAGTACGACGACGAGGAGGGCTACTGCTCCCCAGACCTCCAGCGGAGGGGCACATCCGTGGAGGACTTCCTCAGAGGCTCGGAGCTTGGCAAGCCGGTGAGTTGGAACTGAGGCTCCTCTGCCAATGTCACCATCCCACCAACTCCCCCACCACTGAGGAGACCGGCGCCTTTAGCTTTGTCTTTTCTTCATCTGTCCATGTGCACTGTGGTCTCAGTAATGGGTCCAGGGTGAGGAGATGTGGATGTCTCCTTGACATTGAGCTGTCATCTGTCCTGAAGGCTGCGGTCCTTCATCTTCATCATCAAGTGCTCCCGGTCCTCACGTCCCATGAGCGAGGCTGTATTCAGAGGCCTTCCTCCAGCTCTTCATCCATCCAGCTTCTTGGAGGCTGTGCTCGGCACACAGGTGGGGTCAGTGTGGAAGTTCACCTGGCCCAGAGTGCATCCCCTTGTTCTGCCCGAGATTGCCTCTTGGTCGCTGTGCAGGCTCCTTATGCGCACAAGGTGTCTTCGGACGGAGCTGAGACACAGGAAAACCTGGCACTCAGATCTTCCCGTACATGTTATGTGCGCACACACGGGAAACTAACACACGGGGATGGCAGTTTTACACACTCAAAACCTATGTGATCATGTGTGGAAACACGGTAGCTGTTTTAGGACCTTTTCCATGGGGCCCTGATTCCCCTGTGCACCTTTGTACTCACTGACCTTTCCCTCAGGTTTTGAAAGTAGAGACGGGGCTACATCCCGGATTCTGAGTGTGGTCCCCTCTTAACCCAACTGTGTCTCCATCCCGTTCCCTCACGGTCTCGCTGGTGGGCTGGAGCCAGGCACTTCACCCGCCCATCCCTTCCTCTGGGACTCTTGGCAGGATGGAAGCTGCTCATGGGGGAGAGGACCCGGCTTCCCTGGGAGGGACATGAGAGGTGCTTTCGGGGGTGGGGGGAGCCCTCCCTCATGTGCTGGGGAGGGAGGCCCGACAACCAGCCAGACCTCTGTCTGGTCACCTGAACCCTTCCATTGGGCCTGGTTGGAAGCTTCAGGGCTGGAGCTCATGTTCAAGCTGAGGATGTAGCCCTCCATAGGCCCCTCCCGTTCTGAACGGACAATGTCTGCACCCCTGCCACTCCCTCCTCAGCCCAGTGCGACTGGGAGAGCGTACACGATAGTCTGTGCGTTTCAGGATGCTTTCCGTAAATGTACCCCAGGACACTCCTCCTCACCCACCAGTGAGATCACAGGTTCTCCGTCACCAGCACTCAGCTGCGGTGGGTGTCCCTGTGTGGTATGCATTCGCAGACCCGAGCTTGTTAGTGTGTGTAGTTTGGCTTGTTGGGGCTTTCCTTGACTTAAAACACGTGAGCCATCCAAGGACAGAGCCCTTTCTCGTAAGGGGAAGCCTGGCAGCCGCGCTGAAAGTGCAAGCTTCCTGCGGAATTCTCCTGCCCCTCGGCACGCCCTAACTGGGGACAGTCCTCGGGCGGGCGAGCCAGCCTGCAACCGCAGAGCGCTATGTGTGCATGCACCTGCACGTCAGAGCCCGGGGCTGTCACGGGGGCTTTTCTGTGGACCCTGTGCTGCCCGCCTCGGCGCTGCGCTCCTTCCTCCTTGGTGTCCGTGAGCCACGTGCTCACTGCCACCCTGCCCCGAGCACCATCTGAGTACCCCACTCCACAGGCGGCTGGGACCCAGAGGAGTAGCACCGCTCACATGGGCGTCTGTCCCATCCTCTACCAGCTCCACTTGCTGTGTGACTGGGACGGGGACTATGGTAGAAACGGGTTGTAGTATTAAATTTTAAAAATGACGCTGGCAAGTGGGGGGCCAGCCCCCACCGCTAATCCTACTATTGCTACTACTCGGATTCAGTAATACTACTACTGGGTTCAGTAATGCACAATTGTACAGTTGAGATATATAAGTATTATATTAGAGTCATCGAGAGCATGAGAGATATTACAATAATACAGTCAGACATGTACCATGGCAACATTGCTCACCTCAGCCCAGCTTGGTGGTCCACGTGGAGAGAGGGGGAAGGGAAGGAGGGAAAGGGAACAAGGGAGAGGGGGAAGAGTCAAGGAGGTCAGAGTGACGAGGTGGAAGTCCTGGAAGTCCGAGAGCTCTATATTGCTGACCCATGCCTATATACCTTTTGGGTGCAAGCCAGCCCACTAATTACAGGTAGAGACATAAATCACAGGGAGGAGCTGCACTATAGGTTACACAGCAATGAGTGGGTGGTCTAGGGGTTGGTCTCTGGGTCCATAGGAACCATTATCAGTAGGGTGCAAACTCCTCCTACAGGAGCCTGTCCATTGTCCCCAGAGGCAGGGAGCAGGCCCACCCCTGTGGAGGGATGAGACAGCAGTCTGGCAACTGATTGCCTTCAGGGGAGGGAATGACTGCGCATCTAACTTCCCCCCACAATGGGTGATTGGGCAGTGCCCACCGTGGGCAGCTCCCAGTATTTGAGGCCACCAGGGAGCAGAGGAGGAAAGGGGGTGGGGCGGGGCCAGCCCCTAGTGTGCCTCTCAGTCAGCACCCCTCTTGGCCTCAGCCCCACTGTTGCCACGGGGATGAGTACCACACGGACAGCAGCCGGGGCTCCGACCTCTCGGACATCATGGAGGAGGACGAGGAGGAGCTGTGCTCGGAAATGCAGCTGGAGGATGGGGTACGGAGGCGGCCCAGCGGGACGTCCCACAACGCCCTCAAGGTCAGTGGCCGGGGTGCAGGCCAGCCCCAAGTGGCTCCGTCTCGGTCCCTGTCCTGCTCAGGCTGCCCAGAGGGGCTTCTTCCTCTAGCCAGAGGCCCGCTGACTTGGATTCGCTTTTCTCTCACAACTGAATTGGTCTAAAGGTCTGGGTGGAGTAGTTTGGGGGAACTCACTGGTAGCTCCCGGGGCACTGGCACCGGACCAGGAATGGGAAGGAACAGAGCACAGGCGGCTGTATGCCCCGGCTTGTGTGCCAGTACAGGAGGGTGGGACCAGGTGGGACAGCAGAGCAAGGTGGGGGGTGAAGTCCACTGAAGGTGCACACAGGGGCAGGCCAAGTGGGACCAGCACCCTCTTCTGCCACGGCCTGACTCTCTGTGGGCTGGCATGGACATTCCTCAGGGACAGAGGACGGAGCAGGCATTTCGGATGGTGGACAGAGCGTTGTCCTATGCCCACTGTCCCCCAGTGCCACAGATGGATGAACTCCGTCAACTCAGCAAAGCCCTCTTGTCTGGGCGGCACCATCCTCAGACCCCAACCCCTCAGATCTGCAATGAGCCAGCTCTCCCGCTGGCTCTGGGACTCCCTGGAGCAGAGATCTCCACAGCCCCCAGGCTGCGCCCCCGCCGAGAGCTGCCTGGACATGTAGTGTCAAGAACGGTGGTGGAGGCCTGGTTCTTAAGCCCCCACAATGTATCTCTTCCCAGTGGGGCGTGGAGGGCGGGGAGACAGGGGCAGAGCTGCCTGATGCCCCCACCTCATCTCAGGGCTGGGAAAGCACCGAGACCGTGGGTACTCAGCCAAGCTCATCTGAGACATGTTTTGACCCTCACGAGGTTGGGCTCCCGTGCTGCCATAGCCCCCACCCCACCCCCTGGCAGGGGCAGCTGGAGTTGGCGGTGTTTCCACTGGTGTGGTTCCGCTCTCCATCCTGCCCCTCACCAGGCCGTTCCTCCTCCCGGGGCCCTCCACCGTGGTGTGAGGCAGTGCCCTGTGCACCCCTCCCTCCCCGCAGCGTCCCCTGGTGAGAGGTAGGCAGCGATGACCCTGTCCTCACTGGGCACAGGCCAGTCCAAGGTGGGCTGCTGTCAGGGGCTCCAAATGCCTGGAGCCTGACGGGAGAAGTGGGGACCCACAAAGGCCCTTCAGGGGGAGGTAGGACTGAACAGACAGCTGACACAGGGACACAGATTGCCTGAAACCACTTGGGGGCCTAGAGACACCTGAGGAGAGGGGCCTGCCAGCCAGCAGACCCCGCCCCCATGGTGGCTATGAGACCCCTCCCATCTGTTGCCAGCCAGCCAGCCTCCTGCTCCCTCCCCTCGCTGGTGGTCCCAGCACACGGTCCTCTTGGCAACCTGTTTCCCCTCCAGGACGCTTGCTTCCGGCCCCAGGCTCCTCTGACACTAATTCTGTGTTCTTTCTCCTTCCCTCGAACCCCACTTTTGCTGGGTCCCCCGCGCGGTCCGTCCCACTCTGCCTTGTCACATGCCCCCCTCATGGGGTGCCCCCAGGATAGGGCCCCTGTTGGCGTCTTCTGGGAGCAGCCCGAGTCCCCCCTGCAGCCCTCGCACAGTAAGAGGCTGTTCAGCATCCCGGAGGCGGCCGAGGAGGATGGCGAGCCGGGGCAGTTCCTGCACAAGTGGGGCGCAGGGTGCCCCCCCAGAGTTCGAGCACCCCCGCCGGCACCCCGGGGTGCCTGGCTCCCAGCCAAGCACAGGGGGCCCTACGCCGAGGACTACCCCCCTGAGGACAGGGGCTGTCGCTTCAGTCGCTGGGCCACCCGGAGCCCGGACAGCGGTCTGGACTGCGGCAGCGAGGAGGAGGAGCTGCGGTTCAGCTTCCGAACCACAGCCTCCGGGGGCGGCCCCGGGCCCTGCCCCTGCCGCCGCAGCCCCCGGCCCCTCCTGGCCCGGCGGCGGACGCTGACGCGGCAGAGCAGCGTCGAAGAGGACTTTGGGGACCAAGTGGACCCCAGCGAAGGCGGCCGGGGCGAGGGCGCCCCGCCCGGCCCGGGGAAACCCGGCCTCAGGAAGTGTGGCTGGGCCGAGTCTGCGCGTCTGGACGATTCCCGGGATGTCTGGAGGAAAAGCGTAAAAATGCCGGGCGCTAGGGCCCTCGCTCACCATGCACAACCTCCGCCCAGAGCGGCGGACAGCCCTGTGGTGTGTGAAGTAACCTTCCTCTGCTCCGCTTGCCCCCCAACCCCCGTTCTTCCATGCTTGTTTCTTTCTTCTGGTGTCCACCCCTGGGGACCCCCCTGCTGGCTTGCCCTCCCCCTCCCCCTTTGATTTAAGTCCTGTTGCTGCATAATCTCAGAACCATGCTGACGACCTCTTTGCTTTGCTTTTAGAATGATAATTTTTTCTACAGAATCAATGATGACATGGCTGCTTATAATTAAAGGACAACTGAATCTAAATTTTAATTAAGGGTTAGCTGAACTATGATTATCCAAGGGGTTGTCAATAGATCGATTTATTATTTGCTCTTTTCAAAAATGGCCCTTGATGGCTGGAGCCTGCTCGAGGAGCCAACAGAGGCTGTGGCTCTTGTCCTGAGGGAGGGAGCTCTGCAGGAATGACTTAAGGACTCCCCTTTTGCATGTGGTTTCTCTGGTGGTTGGGTCTGTGTCCTACGCACCCCCACCCCCATTCCTTTGCTGCCTTCAAAGTCATCACTAGGAATTTCCCACCCGCAGCCTTTGGAGGTGGCTCTGGGCATGTGGCCAGGGCTCCTGAGCTGGTGTGAGGCAGGATTCACCTCGTGCCATCTCCTGTCAGCACACGCTATCGGCCAGGCCCAGCTTCTCCCTGAAAGCCTGAGCCGTTAAGCCTGTGCCCACAAGAGGGTGCCACCTATGACGAGTGCTCACTGGGCCCCTGGCCATGGTCGGGAAGGTAATAACCCTACCACCCAGTCCCCCTCCCCCAGGTCATTCTCCATGCCTGTGGGCTCCGGTAAGAGTTGGATTCTGTCGAATTGTAGCCTTTTGTCTAGAGGCAGGCTTAAACTGAAAAGGAGAACATTCAAGGTAGCCTCAGCAAGCAGCGGGTGCCTGCAGATGGGCGAAGCCGCTGCCCTGACAGTTAAGCTGGTGGCCCAGCAGACAGCTCTGCGCCTGCATCCTTTAGCCTTGTGTGTGCGCGCGCGCGCAGCGGTTCTCCAAAGGACGTGTGGACGCAGCAGCCCCCCTCCTTTTGTGGCTGTCGGAGGACAGGGTCCCTGCAGACTAGGTAAGGGCTACCTGTCGGGCAAGTGAAGAGCCGCATTGGAGGTGTGACTGCTGCTTCCAAAGCACCACCACCAAAGTGCCCTCCTGCCCCCCACCTCCCCACAGGTTTACTTTCTGCCTCTCCTGATGGTGTCAGCAGCGACTGTGTAGAAAACGGGGTGCTTGGGCAAACAGCCTTTTTAATTTCTATTTGCAGGTCATTCAGCTAACCTTTCAGTTAAAACCTAAGTTTAGTTGCCTTTAGAGCTTCTGCTTCGGCCTTGAGCTGGTTTTGCTTACTCCCCAGCTCCAGGTTGGGCCATGACCTCTGACTGTTGTCTTTGTCTTTAGGTTTTGGGGAACCTGGTGTTGACTGGACGGCCTGAGCACACAGATCACATGGGCTCAAGGTTTCCTCACGGCAGTGCTGGCCCACCGCGGTCCCTCAGCGGTTAGTAGACCCAACCGAGTTCTCTTCCCCTCGCAGGGCTGCCTCATCTCTGGAGCCATCGCATGTCCACCAAGTACCGAGAACTTCTCGTTACTGATGGCCCCTAAAGATAGACCTGTTCCTCAGTACGTTAGGAGGAGCCCTGGTGGTGCAGTGGTTATGCCGTGGGCTGCTGGCTTCAAGGTTGGTGGTTCAAATTCATCAGCTCCTCAGCAAGAGAAAGCTGAGGCAGGCACTCTGCTCTCAAAAAGATGGCTCGCAAGGCCTGTAGGGTGCCGAGTTGGAATTGATTGGACCCCAGCGGGCTTGGTAAGCATCTGTGGGCGTGCTGGCTTCTGATGTTGGCTCCTTCCTGCTAGCTTACTTATCAGAGCGGCAGCAGGGCCCAGGACACGTGTCTGTGCCCTTGACATGCTGCCTGTGGGTCTAAAAGCCACAAACCCTGAATATGTGTGGTCCCCAAAGTGTGTGCTCTTCACCCCCAGCTTCTCTTCTCCGAATCCAGTGAGCCAGGTCCAATCAATTGTGAAGGCCAGGTCAGATGCGTTTCTAGCCATCCCTGGAATGGAGCCACGTGGTCAGCACCAGCATGACTGCTGGGTCCCACTTCAGCATCAGGTTTTGGTTGGGTGGGGGTGGGGGACAGCTCCCAAGGGCCAGTCTGCATCAGTGTACTGACAGGCATCCTCCCAACTCTTGTCCCCCCATCTCCCCAACGTGTTCTTTCTTGTGGTTTCAGTTTGGGGATCTTTAAAAGGATCACTGGTGGTTTCTTGTGGGCGGTTTAATGGCTCTTGAAAACAGGTATTTTGGGTAAGCTGAAAAATGGTATCGCCTGCCATCAAGTTTGGAGGGACTAACGTCACCCACTGCAGGATTACCAGCTGCGCCCCCCCCCTTAAGTGACCACACAGCTTAAATCCCACACCCCCACCCCCGTTGAATTGGCTGCAGTTGACACTAGTTGGCGTCTTCAAGGTGTGGCTGGCTGCTGAGGGCCCTTGGGTCACAGTGCGGAGAATGCTGGAGAAGCTAAGACGTCCCGGCAACCTGTTGACGGACTTTTATATTAGCAGAAATGGGTGGTCGCTGACACGCACCAAAGAACAAACACCCCAGTATTGTGACGCAGACTCTGCCTTGCATTGATTCTGACTCTGTGACCTGCCCCTGCCACACCAAGGGGGCTTCCCGGGCTGCACATCTCTCTCAGAGTCGCTGGTTGGATGTGAGCCGCTGACCTTTCCCCATTACCACCAGGTCACCAAGAGTCCAAGTTTAAATAGGAACAACTCCCTGTGTCTTACACTCATCTAAGCGGGGACCTTTATTTACTGAGGACAACAGCCAGTTCCCCCCCCTCCCCCCAACTTTAGCTGCTCAGAGGCATCTTTAGAAGCAGACTCTGCCAGGAAGTCCTGCACCCATGGGCTTGGGGCGTCCTGTCACCACTGGGTGGTCTAGCAAAGTGTGCAGCTTGGGTGCCTGTGGGTGTTGAGACTCCTAGGGGACCTGGCAGGGAACCCAGCAGTGGACGCTGTGGAAGACCCGAATCCGGTGTGCCCCATGTGGACATAGTAGGAGACCGTGCCCGCAGTGGGGGAGAGGCAGCAGCCAAGGGCAGCCTAGGCTCACTGGTTGTGCTTCCTCTCAGATGACTACGGGGGGCCCAACCGCCTGTCCCCCGACTTCTATGAGGAGTCAGAGACAGACCCTGGTGCCGAGGAGCTCCCAGCACGTATCTTCGTGGCCCTGTTTGACTACGACCCACTCACCATGTCCCCGAACCCTGACGCTGCTGAGGAGGAGCTCCCCTTTAAAGAAGGGCAGATAATCAAGGTGAGGGTTGGGGGGTGGGGTGGGGGTGGGGCTGGGCAAAGCAGGTTAGTGCAGATGGCAGAGACCCCTCAGCTCACCTGTAGCCATGGCTCCCGAACGGTCTGAGGAGAGGGCCTGTACATGATCGGCACTTTTAGGAAGACCCTGTGCTCTGGTGGCATGGTAGGCTAAGTACTACCTGGGAAGTTGGCAATGCCCGTCCACCAGTCAGTGCTCACAACTTACACCGGAGGCCTTATCCCGGGTCTGACCTCTCTCACCCACTCCCCTGCCTCCCCTCCACACCAACTGTTGTCTGCTGGTGAAGGAGGGGGCTTGCCATGGTAACAAGAGGCTTCCTGGTAATTCCAGAGAGTCCTGATACCTCCTCTGGGAAAGTGGCTGCCCAGTGTCCCCCTAACAGGACTGTGGCCCTGATCCAGGCAGCGCCGCACTGTGTCAGTGGAGAGCGCTGCCTCCCAGGGTGGCGTGGAAATGCCCACCCATCAGCGGGAAGCCCAGAGGTGCTGCTTGGCCTGGAGGCACCCATCCAGGTGAGAGCCAGCGCACGGCAGGGCCAGGGTGACGCTGTGCCCCACGGTGCTAGGTCTATGGCGATAAGGACGCAGACGGGTTCTATCGCGGAGAGACCTGTGCCCGGCTCGGCCTCATTCCTTGTAACATGGTCTCCGAGATCCAAGCCGACGGCGAGGAGATGATGGGCCAGCTTCTCAGACAGGGCTTCCTCCCGCTCAACACCCCAGTGGAGAAGACAGGTGAGTGGAACGCCCTGCTCAGCTCCATGTGGGCCTGGGCACTGCTGCTGCCTTGCGTGCCTCCTGGGCCCCCACAGACACACAGATGCATCACGTCTGCCAGGTCTAGATTTGCACATTGTCCTACCGAGGTAGATCCGTGGGGACGAGGCCTCCTGTTCTTCGGGGGAATCCTCTTCACCCTTTCATCTGTAGCTGCTGAACCCCCACTCAGCTTCAACCAGCCTGCCTGCAGTAGCCAGCAGCACCCTTTCCCTGTGACCTCTAGTCCCACGGGGTATGGAATTGGGAAACGCACTCAGTAGGACAAACCTCGTTCCCTACACAGCTGGTGAGAAAAATACCAGTTTTCTATCATTCATGAGGGGAGCTGTGAGATTATGAAAAGGGAAATTCCTGATGATTAACGTTCCTGGCAGTAATCCCGAGTGTGGCTGGGGTTAAATGTTAACTGTCTGAAGCCATACTCGGGATTACACTGCAACCTGACTTCCTCGTTCGTTCCATTCCGTTCTCTGCGTGCAGTGTCACCGCATAAGGTCGGAACTGGTCGGGAAATTCAAAACTGCTAGTCTAAAAGAGATACACACACAGTGATACAGTGTAACCTGTGAGGATTACATTGCATCAAAGCAAATCACCTTAGATTTGTCCCTAGATCAGTCTCCAGTGCCCTGCCAGCCCTTTTCCTGTCATTTGGGAAAAATTTTGCCTGGAAATTTTTTGTCCATGGCATCAAAAAAGTGTCACTTTAGCACAAAAGGAGTTGTAGACCAGATAAATGACAGCGACAGTGACTTCGAATTACTCGCAGAATTGAGCGATAGCGGTTCCTGGGGATATTCATCATCTGACACTGACGCTGATCAGATAAGTGAGGACAGTGACATTCCGCACCTGAGCTCAGCGATGTGCCAACCTGATGCTCTCTTGTCTGCGGTTCGGATCAGGCAGCCCCCCGGGATGCCCGTTGACTGGAGCACCTGGCGTGAAAGCAGACGGTGACCACACCCCCGTGCCATACCTACAATTATTTCTGACCGATGAGGTCATTCAAAAAATTGTTATGGAGACAGCGGTACCAAGAGCAACAATCCGCTACTCTGCAGAAAGTGGGACCAGTGACCAAAGGTGACATTTGGAAACTTCTGGGCCAAATCATACTTGAGGGAGTAGTATTGGACCACCAGTAAACCACTTGCAACTCCGTTTTTGGGCACCATCACGTCAGAATACAGATTTTCCCTGATTATGAAATTTTTTTCACTTCACAAACAATGAAGAATTTGATGAAACTACTGATCCTGCACCAAAACGAAAGAAAATTTGGGAAGTATCTCAAATGATTGTAAGGAATTTCCAGCAGACCTTTGTGCCAGAAAGAGACATCAGCATAGATGGAAGTCGGAGAGGTCAGCTGGATACAGTACATCGCATCAAAAAGAGCATGATTTGGCATAAAATCCTATAGGCTCTGAATTGTCAACTGGCGACATTTGGAATCTGGTCATATGCACTGGGAAAGGCACAAAGTTCAATCCAAAGTACCGCGACGATGGAGTGGCAACATCTTCTGTTCTAACACTCATTGAGCCATTGCCAAATCAGGGCTATTGTTTCACAACTGACAACTTTCATACATAAAAAACAAAACGGATGCCTATGGAACCGTCAGGGCTCACTAGGGTGACCTGCCAGCAATGTTTGCAAGAAGCAGCTAAAAACTGGAGAATTGGTTGCCTGGCAGAAAGGCAAGACGACGGCACAGCGATGGCGTGACAAGAAGATGTGTGCCTGATGAGTACAGTTCACAGCACCGCAACGGTCATGGCACGCACGCTAAGTCATGAAGCCACAAGCGGGGATGGACTACAATGAAACCAGGGGAGGTGTCGACAGAGCTGACCAAGCACTCACATTCTGCCCGGCAATGCGGAAACAGCCAAAGAAACACGACAAGAAGACCTTCAGGTATCTTCTTGAGCAATGCTTGTGGAATGCCTACATTTTGCACAGAGCAAAGAGTGACAAGCCTTTGGTCCATTCTGACTTCCTTTGGAAAGTTGCTGAATGGATCTTTGTGAACCACCACCACCACACCATCAATGGCTCTGAATAGACCTGGACGTCGCGCTGTTGACGTGGTCAGCCCAGAACGCTTGACTGGTCGTCACTTCATGGACTATATCCCACCAACCGAAAAAAAGTCAGCACCTACAAGGATGTGTGTGGTTTGTTGCTCAAAGCGAGATGGCAATGGAAAGAGAATTCACTGGTCAGCTCCTGCCGTCAGCTCCATTCTGGACCGTGTCAGGCAGAGAGCAGACTGTTTGAAAGAGGCTTGAATAACGTGATCAGTCAAGTTAACACCTAGGTGTTTGTTGTATATGGATAGTGTACGACACCAAGAAACAAACAGGAGGGAGGAGTGGGAATACTAAGAATATTCGCTTGTTCTTAGGTTGGCACAGCAGCTGTGTCAATGGTCTCTATCTCCTTGAGAACCTTCCTTGTTTTTGCTGCCCCTCCACTTTACCACGCACGATGTCTTTTCGCTGGCTGGACAGGTCTCTCCTGACAGCAGGTCCAGAGTCTGTGAGATGAAGTCCCACCATCCTGGCCTCTAAAGAACATTCTGACTGTACTTCTTCCAAGACCAGACACCCTGGTTATTTTGGCAGTCCATGGTATTTTCAGTATTCTCTGCCAACACTGTGGTTCACGTAATGCCAAAAACCTAGTAGCATTAACAAATCAAACGGCAGGCAGAAGAAGAGAAACCGGATAAAATTAAAATATCTACAAAAATGGTAGACCTTAATCCAACCGTCTATATAAATAAACCCTAACTGACTTCACCAGCCAACCACGTACACAAATGTTGTCCTAACACATGGAGAGAGCAATATGCCCAGTTCCACGCTCGTACAAGAAACCAGGCAAAGACCGAGACCCCGACAGCGAGCAGAGGAACTACTGCCCTGCTCAGAAGAAAGCTGCTTGCCATGCCACACAGCCGGCAGAGGCTTCCGAGCAGACAGTGTGCTCCGGGATGAAGCGTATAGCAGGTCACGAAATGGACATGTAACCCAAGTGTTTCCGTACCAAGTATGAGTTTCAAAATACATGCGGAAAAAAACGGTGGGAAAGAGTAACCTAAGTCCTAACTAGGTTTGGATGATTTGGGGGTACACCTCTTGGTACCCCCAAATCCAAGCATACAGCAAACCCAGGCAGATACCTAAGGCCAACAACACTCCAACTACCACTATCCAGCAGCTTGGTCTGCTTGAATCAAAGGACAAAGAAATTCACTCACCTGCCAGTGACACCCCCACCAACTGAAGCCGTGCCCTGGGCTGCTGTACAACACACCCCGACGACCAAAGTGAATCCAGCTATTGTAGGAGATTTCCCTGGTGCGGGGGGTGGGGGACCTACAGCACACAGAGCACAAACCAGTGAGCCGGAAACCAGCAGAACAATGATTTTATACAGACAGCAAAAGGGGAATAAGGAACCATCACAGGTAACTCAGTGTCCATGAACACGGCAACCTAACTAAAAGGGAGCAATTCTTTTGTGTGGTGGGAGAGTCTCCCACTGTAGAGTAAACCCAGGCAGGAGTGCCACCAGGGGAAAAATGGGTGACGGCTCCCTTCTTCCTCCTGTTTCCACACAGAGAGAAACAGAAGGAGCAGCAGGCGGCATTCAGCACCGACTCGGAGAATGGTGGCTCTGTATGACTATGACCCCCGAGAGAGCTCGCCCAACGTCGATGTCGAGGTACTGGTTACCTGGGACGTAAAGCCACACCCTCCACCTTCACCAACATTGCTGCTCCAGCCCACCGCCCTAAGCCCCTGACTTATAAACCTCCTCATCCTCCCTCTTCCCGTATCCACACAGGCAAGAGTGAAGGGGGACACGTGGGAGGGGACACGAGCATCGAATGACAGACCCCCACTGCGAGGACAGAGGGGGTGCCAGTCTCTTCATGGTGGCACAGAAGTGTCCTCCGGGGAGAGGACGGCTGTTCCCGCATATAGAGCCGTGTACAGCTTGGTGTTATAAAGCCTGGAGACAATGTGTCTCCAGAGATGGAAGGTTAGGTTTTCACCTTGTGGAGTGAGCTCCCATCACGACCGTTGTTATCTGACGGGCCGCAAGCTCAGGGCTGGTACACAAGCGTCGGTGTACTCAAAAGTGTCTACACGTGGCTGATTCCTGTCTGAGGTCTGGGGGCTCTTATATGTCAGCTTTGCTGTCCTTTCCACGTTTAGACTGGAGTGGGTGTGTGTGTGTGGGTGTGTTCGTGTTCTAGGGGTGGCAGGGACTGTTATTCCCCCAGGGCAGAGGGTCTCAGAGCTACAGTTCTCGCTCAGTGGCTGCCTACTGACGTAGGGGTTCTCACGCTACAGATATGTCCGTAACCAGGGGTGGATTCTGCCCTCAGCAGGGTTGGCGCAGGCTGACGTGTGCTTACTATTTTCAGTCAACAGTCTCACCTGGGCTTCAGTACAGATGGGGATCCCACTGCCTCTATCGCGGTAGCAGAGGATGGTGGTAACCTCCTTCCCATTAAGAATCGAGACTCTGCAGCACTGTTGGTCGTGGGTGGGTGTGCTCTTAAGCGAGGTTGAGCGGACAAGCAGAGCCCTTCCGCCGACAAGAGAATGCCAGTGATAGGGGGACAACAGTACTCACTCTGTGTTCCGTTTCCATAGGCAGAACTCACGTTTTGTACAGGAGACATTATTACCGTGTTTGGTGAAATCGATGAAGATGGATTTTATTATGTAAGTGTTCTCTAGTCTGCCTCCCACTTGTGCACACCTGGAAGAGGAGGGTCCTGCCTGCTGCAGCGACCCCCTCGCTCTCGACAGTGCTGTCACAGGAGCCCTGACCAGTGCACCTGCTCACACCACACATGCTTCTACGGCTCTCTCTCCCACAATAGTATCGGGAGGAGCCCTGACCAGTGCACGTGCTCACATGGCGTCCACAGTGTTTCCCCAGGGAGACGTGGAGCACAGGGACAGCTTGTCCAGGTGTCCTCGGGCAGAGGCTGGTGGTCATGCCCGGTCCACCCTCACTGGGAAAAGGCTGGGGGGTGGGAATCGCCTGTAGCACATCCGAGTCCTCCTATCTCAGTCCTCCCTCCAGGATGGGTTGGGTCGCGCCAAACGTGGCAACTTTTTAACAGTTCCTGTGGGAAGCTTCTAAGGTGGGTCATGGCATGTCATAGCATCACCCACCTGAACCCCTGCTCATGGGGCTGCACTGTGACTCCCACGATCGCCAAGAGTCTGGGCAACCCTGGGGCCCCCAGTTAAAGCAAGACAAGCGTTTCTCGGAAAATAAGAGTTCTTCTGCCTCCTCCCTCCCTGTATTTTTAGGGGGAGCTTAATGGGCACAAAGGCCTTGTACCTTCAAACTTCCTGGAAGAAGTGCCTGATGACGTAGAAGTGTACCTTTCTGACGCACCGTCCCACTACTCACAGGACGCCCAGATGCGGTCCAAGGCAAAAAGGGTAAGCAGATGCGCCCAGCCCTGTCCATTTCCTTTGCACCCTGCCACCTCCCGTCATGGACTCTTGCATCAGTGATTCCTATACTGTGGGCTGGCCTGGAGGGCCCCCATTCCCGACCTCACAAACATGACCCTGTGCTGTCCTCCCTCCGTGTCACTCACGAGTGTGGGGTGGCTGTTCTCTGGGGCAGCGATGGCTGCAGCCCCGTTAGGGTCAGAGGACCACTCGAGCATACTGAGATTTTAGACTACATTCACGTGTAGTGTCTCATTTTTATTTTATCTCATCACGGCAAGTTTTTCCCTACCACATTTTTATATCTATATATTTTTATTTCTTTGCTCATCTGCTTGGAAACAGAAGAAGAGTGTTCATTTCACACCTTAAATCAGGCAATGTAGCCTTCACGTAAGTGAGCAACTGAAGATACCTATAAAGATACCAACCTAGGCTCCCTTAAACGGACTAATGCGTAGACTTAAGGCTTCACTGTGGGCTTTAAAAACAGCAACAAAGAAATATGTCTCAAAAAAACATTGGACCTAAAGTATCAGGCTATCTCTTGGTCTCAGTTGTACAGCAACTGGATGTGCAGTGAAACTAATCGTCTTGACTAATCATTTCCTACTTGCATTACTTATATTATGAAAGACCAACATTGGGAACATATTTCTTAGCAAGCAAACTGTTTGTTTACACAGAGCAGTGTTAACATTAACTACAGCTGCATATTGCATTGCTAGCCACTCTCGGAAAAAGCACAACTTGACAACTTTGTTTACTCTAGGGACTTTCATCTTATGGGGGCTAAAAGCAAAACCCGTAAGGTCACGCAGGTGAACAGTGAGTAACAGGTGGTCTAGAGTTGAACTACCGGCACTCAGCTCTCGTGTGAAGTGGGGGGTGAGGGGGGCACTTAATCTGAGTGCCGGTAGTTCAATTCTAGATCACCCCTCACTTCACATGAGAGCTAACGCTCCTCCCACAGACACGCGCACACGCACAGACACGTTTGGTGAAGACCGCTGTGCTGGTGTACCAATGCAATACCCAGTTTCACGAGACGTGCAGCTGCACGACGGCATTAGACGGAGCAGCTGGTATCTTCAGGTGTGCTTTGGGATGCTTGACAAGGTGTTTTCCATGAGACCTAGACCTTGATTTTACATCCAAGCAAGCTGGAAGCCCTGGGTTTCGCTCTTTGCCTGCAGAAGGTGGGCACTGCAGTGAGCTGGGGTGTGTGTGTGGGGCCTCTGTAGGTGAGGACGGTAGGCTCAAGGGCACCGACACAGAAGTAAGAATACAGGAAGCAAACTTCGGCAATGGGCACAGCCCGTTGTTGAAGTATGCGGAAATACGTATTTGGACATCACGAAATTGAGGGAGGGAGGGTCTTTCAGCTTGCTTTGATTGCAAATTAAGGTTCATTTTAGTTTTTTTTTTTTTCTTTCAACCGGTGTGCCATCTCCAATATTTTTCTGTAACTAATCCAGGAATGCATTAAACAATATCAGGATTTTATATGACCGAGTAATTTCAGATACAACAAAATTCTGGTCAAGAATTTTTGCTTCTAAAATTACTCTCAACCCAATTTGCTCTATGCTTCTCTTTTGGATTTTGGTCTTAATTGACAAAGCAAATTACTACCGAGTGTGGTTCTGCCAAAGCAGGGCCTCCCCTGCCCCTGAAACATCAACTGTCTCTGGCTGAAGCCTGCCCTCCTGGCTCTCTGTGGCGAGGGGATTCGCTTCCGTGGCATACTAGACACATTGAAAGAAGAAATGACGAACCCCCCCCCCAAAAAAAACAAAAACAACAACCAACAACAACCCAACAACCTTTCCCTCGGGTGGGGGGAGTTGAGCTGGGTGCTGTGGCCAAGGGGGATTGGTGTTGGGGGCATGGGCACAGGCGCTCAGTAAACTGTACCACTGTACCACTAGGTTCCTCCTGAGGGGTCAGGGACAGCAAGGAGCGCTCCATCCCCCACAGCCCATCTCCATTCGGGGTCACCTACGTCATCTGTGGGTTCTGGTAGTCCTGGGAGAGGCAGGGAAATGTCCTCGAAAAAGAAAAAGGGGCTGCTTTCCAAAGGCAAGAAGCTGCTGAAAAGGCTTGGTGCAGTGAAATGACCGTGGGCTCTCCTCTGGACGACTCCCCGATCGATGTGATTTTCTTTAATTCCAAACTAGGGCTTTCATGACTCGAGTCCTTCCTAAAAACCATCTTCTCCCCGCCACCAGTAGAGATAGCACTTTGCACACCTACCATCCGCTTTAAACCAACTGCAAGAGCCAGGAGGAGCCTGGGGCGGGAGGTGGGCGGGGTGGCTGGCTCTCTGTAGCTCCCTCCCTCCCTGTCGCCTGTCTGTGTGCATTGGTCATCTGCCCTTCAAGGAATGATTTTCCACCTTCTCCCTCCTTCAAAATGCTTGCCTCATAGTGCATAACTCCCAGTTAACTCTGGTCTTGAAATTCCAAGTTTAATCCGCCTTCATGTCCTGCCTTATAAAATGCACAATGATTTGTACTGTCAAATAAACAATTCCGTGTCTACGTGTATGTGGTGTGCGCTCAGTGGTCTCCACCCTGACACAGTGCTTTGCAATCAAGCTGCACAGGCTACACAATTTACAGACACCGGTTTGAGTCTTTACAGAGCCAGCCAGGGCAGACAGACACACACACACACACACACACACTTATTCATTCCTCCAGCCATTCGGAGGAGGGGTAGATACCAGTATTTGCCCCTGCCGGGCGCTGACAGCCCTCACTGCGCTCAGTGTTACATTCTGTGGCATGTAGATTTCCCTAACGTTCACTCTGTCAAAATGCCATGCAGTTAGTCAGTGAGGGCCAGCACACGCGCACTCGTGCTATGCCACACAGCCCATAAGCCACACCCCAAACAGTCTGTTCAAGGTCATTCTATCCAACCCTCCTCTCATCGGCATTTGAACAAAAGACTGACAAAGTTGCTGGCAGATGTCTTTGGTGGTTTATATTCTGTAATTCTTGTAAATTGTTTTTACTCTTTATACATATTTTCAGACTGCCTTTCTTTTGTAATTTATGGAAGGTTTATAAATGAGTGATCCAAGCTTTCCCCATATTGTAAATTGTAATAAAACAGTATGTGTTACATTTATTAAAAGAAAACGATTCACATACTTTGTGGGCGTGTGCATGTGTACAGTGTCAAATATTTTATAGCAATAAAAAATCATTTTGTACAATGTCGCACTCGCTCGCTCTCTCTCCCGCCCCATACATGCAAGAAAAACTAAGCCGTTCCAGGAAAGATACGATTACAACAAATGATGCTGACCTGTTCTGCAAGTCCTGACGGGAACGCTGACAGTCTTGCTGTAGCTGTCACCCCCTCAGGGGCAGTGAGCGTGGGGCCCCACGTTGCTGTGCACAAGAAACACGTGTGAAGACATAATTTTGCTGGAATTCAAATGATGCAGACAGATAAAGGGTAAAACCATCTCAATATACTTGGGTTCCTGAGAGATTCTCAAATCTTTTTCTGTTTTACTCACGTTTATTTCTATTTTACCTCTTAATCTGTACTGATTTCCTGATCTAGGTGGTATTTTTCCTTTAAATTGACCATTTCCCATGCCTGTACCCAGACAAGTGAAGAAACATCTCCAGTCACAGTATGATTGCAATTTTACATCTCCAGGGGTGAACCTAACCGCTAGGCTCACATAATGCAAATTGTTCAGTACAAAACGCAGGATATTTGCCTTCTGACTCGATGCCTCCCTGCCTCCCCACCTCTTACTTGCTGCTTGATTCCATAGCACAGGGAGCAATTCCCTGTGGACGCACCCACACCTGATCCTCATACTGACATCACTTTGTGCTGGTCACGAGATGCATCACTAGGACATAAACTCTCAACTCCAACAGCGCTGTCACACCGAGTCTAAACGGAATGACACAGTGGCTTCATCCCTCGGCGCAGGTCTGAGGCTGGCACAGGACTTGGGTGTGTTGGGTTCCGTTGTGCACAGGGGGATCATTGTGGGTCAGAGTCGACTTGGTGGCACCTAACAACCAGCAGACCAAATGTGTCTTGACTTACTCTCACAGCTGGCCAGTCGTTTCATGGGTCCTGGCGCTTTGAAGACACAGGCGGTCTAGACACAGTCTAGTGACGGCAGGCAGACTACTGGCACAGGGTCCTCAGGGCAGCGTGAGCAAGGCCAGCCTGTAGGCTCCACGGGCAGAGGGCAGGAACCACTCTCACCACTCGGAATTTTCACCATCCAAGCCTGTCACCATGAGGCACTCGTGGTGACAAAAGCCAACACATGCAGCAACGGGTGAACAATTTTCTCCCAACACTGCTCAAATCGACTAAGTCCAGAAATGAGACCAGAAAAGTGACGCCTTCTGTCTGTAATACAAGGGTATGAATCTGAACAACTGCATGGACGCTTAGTACAAGCTAGGTGCTAGCTAAGCTGGGCTCAAGAATACTTTTCAAAAAGACAATACTGGGCACTATTAAAAAATATCTAGGGTTTGGATTTGGTTCCTGACAGTATGGTCAACAACTCTCTTACTGGTTACTTACTATTAGGGGCTCTGCTTTTGAGTCAGTTCCCAATCCCAGGGCCCGTTAAAGAGAACGAACGCCTCCCGGCCCGCGCCATCCTCACCGCTGTCTGTCGCAGCCCTTGTGGCCGTCCATCTCCATGACGGTCATCTCCTTTGCTGGCCCTCCAACTGCACCTTTATTTGTAAATTATGGTCCAAGCTTCCACACTTGTGTCTTCAAAAAGGATTAACTTGGAAACTGCAAAAACACCTTTTGCAAAAAACGGTGTCAA